GAGCCTGCTAAGCCTAAACCGGTACCAAAAAAGACCCAGATTGCTCCTGAGAAGAGCAAAGCAGTATCTAAAAAGGCTGGGACAATTCCTGAGAGTGACAAACCAGAGTCTAAGAAGGCCAAAATAGTTCCTAAGAAGGCCAAAATTGTACCTAAGAAAGCTAATACAGTGGAAGATTCTGATTATGAAATGCTTTCTGAATCTGATTCTGAATCTTTTATGTAAGTATACATATTTTTTTATTACATTTTTAATTATATTTTGTTTTTATTTTATATTGTTTTAGTTACATTTTCTTTCTTTTTTTTTCTATTTAGGGAGCAAAGAAGAATCATTGCAAGATGTAGACCCTATTCATTGGAAATATTGCTGCAGAACTTTAGTCCTGAGCAAAAACAGGCTGTTGAAGAAATTGGTTTTGGAGGTTTATTACATCTTAAATTGAAAACTCTTAATCGTCAAATGCTATCTTGGCTTGTTGAAAACTTCAATGCTGGTAGCTGCATGTTTACCATCGCTACTGGTAAAGAATTTGTTGTTACTAGAAATGATATATGCGATGTGTTTTGCTTGCCTTTGAGTGATATTTGTGTTCCTGAACTTAATACAAATTCTGAAGATGAAAGTGTAGATAAACGTATCATTCAGGCATGGAGATCTGATTATGGTCTTTCTGGTAAGCAACCTCTTCATTTGTCAAAATTGGAGTCTAGGATGGTTGATTTGGTTGATGGAGGGGAAGTATTTAAGAGGTGTTTTGTTCTTCAAGCTATGTCTAGCTTTTTAGCTCCTACTACTAATAGGACTATTTCATTGAAGTTGCTGAAAGCTGTTGAAAAAGTTGATGAAATTAAAACTTTTGATTGGTGTTCATATGTTTTAAAAAAGTTAAAGAAGGTTGTTCAGAAGTATAAGGATGATGAAAATGCTCAAAATGTTAGTGGTTGTTTGCTAGCTTTGCAAATTATGTATTTTCATCGTCTAAATTTTCAAGGTGAAAAGGAAAGTAGTACTCTTCCTTTAATTCAACATTGGACGAATGTAAAGATTAAGAAGCGAATTAAGTTAGAGATCAAAGCTGGTGGTTATGGGCAGGGACCATTGGATACTATTACATATCCTGTGTCACAGTTTAATTTTAGGGGAACTGTTTTTAAGCCAGCTCCTACTTTGGGTTATGATAAGGGTCCTTCTACAAGTGGTACCACTGGTCGCATTGTTGCATTTGAGCTTCCAGAAGGTATTATGACCGATGAAGAAATTAAAAAAAATTCAACTGATGTAAGTGTTCTGTTTTCTTATATGTTTAGTTATTATTGCTTTTTGTTTACAAAAGTTACCCTTTTTGTGTACAAAAGTTACCCTTCTTTGTGTACAAAAGTTACCGTTTTGTGTACAATAGTTACCCTTTTGTGTACAAAAGTTACCCTTTTGTGTACCAAAGTTACCCTTTATTTGCACCGAAGTTACCCTTTAGTTGCATTAAAGTTATCTTCAATATTAAGTTAAAAGGGTTACTTTATTCATACAAAAGGGTAACTTTTTCATTTAAAAGGGCCAGTTTATGCATTTAAAAGGGTCACTTTTAGCATATATTTAGATTTCCTACTTATTTTATTATTTTTATTTGTAACATTTTTTTTCATTGTTCATATGTTTGTAGGTTGTTTATGAAACGTTTCTTTTGTTTAAAAGAAATATGGATGTTTTATTATTTGTTCAGTCAACTGGTTTTCAAACCTTGAATGATCTGATTACTTCTCGCAGAAGTGTTTCATTATCTTCTGATGATTTTGTTTCAGTTTCTCAAACTGAACTGCTACTCTCTGATCCTCATTATTTGAAGATTTTAGATGGTTTAATTGATGAGTGTAATAAAATGAAGTCTGTACATGATATGTTTTGCGGTTTTTATGAACCTACAAAAGGTAACAAAGATTTTGTTCCTGAAAAAGAACCCGCACAAGGTTTCAATGAAAATATTCCTAAGGATGATGACAATGGTCATGGAAAAATAGTTAATGAAGGCCTTAATGGTTCTGGACCTTCTGCTATCATTCCTGGTCCTACTCAAAATATTCCTGTCGGGCATATTGATCAAAATGAACCTCCTCGACTCAGAGCAAATAAATCTCTATGCTCTCTAGACTGTGGACATGTAGGAGTGCAGGTGCCTTTTGTAACTCTTTTTGTAAAGAGCAATGCTCGGATTTTCAAGAATTTGCCTCAGTTACATTTGGAAACTCTCGATTATTGTTTGCTGAAGGATGTTTCAATGGATAGGAAGTTAAGTGTCCTTTTTTATTATAATTATTTTTTTATCTGTTTTTTTTCTTATATTTTTTTTTTAATGTTGATCTTATTTTTTTATTGTTTCAGTGAGAGCCTTGTTACTTTTGGAATGAACTTTTTAATTCCAAGAGAAGACATGGTGTCCCTTGTTGCTCCACTCAGGATTCGATGGTGCGCTATTGATTGCTTCTGTCTGTATTTGAATGAGAAAGCATGTTTTCAGGCTACTGGTCCTCGGAAATTCTTCTTCGGTGTTAGGCAGAGTGTAAGTTATTTCATTCCTTTTTTTATATCTTAACACATTTACTTTATATATATATTATTGAGATCTTATACTTTAATAGTTTTCATTCTTGCATGTTTGTGACAATATTGGCAAAGGTAACATATCTAGTGCTGTTAAGGATTTGCACGACATATGGGAAGTTTGGGTTAGCTATGAGAATCCAGAATGTAATATAATGGATGCTGATCTGGTATTTTTATTCTAAACTTAATGTAATAAATTTAAAAGTGTTCTCTTTATGATATGCTCTGTTTAAATCTCTTTAATTTTGCTGTTTCAGATTTATTTTCCTGTTCTTATTGAGAATCACTACATTTTGTATGTTATTGATCATACAAAAGAGTTGGTATATTATCTTGACAATATTATCTGGACTGATTCTGCTCTTGTTTATACAAAAGAATTGTGTTCAAAGATGGTATGTTTATGTTTGTTTTTTTTTTGTTATGTTAATGTTGATTCATTGTTTCCATTTTAACTTTTTTGATTTTAATGTATTCTAAACTTTTATATTTTATGTCAGTGTGTTCAAATGGGTGCTTTTCTTGGCAAAAGAAATCATCCAAAGAGTTCTCAGCTACCTTCTTATGGTTTTGAAGTTGTTGAGTTGGAATGGAGAAAAGAAAAGGTTGACAATTTGGACTGTGGGGTCTTTGTCATGTATCACATGCTCCATTTTGTTGGTGAATCGTTCAAATTCAATGATCTCAAAACAGTAATTATCTATATAGTTTCTGTAGTTTTTTCCTTTCTATTGCTTTTATTAATAACATATTGATAATTTTTATTTTTTTTGCTGTTTTGAGATTAATGGAAGGAAATTTTTACGAGGAGAGATCTGTACCACACTGGTACTGTGTGATTTGAATGAATCTAGGAACGATGTGTTGTCAGAATTACACAAGTTCAATGAGAAGAAGAAAGATCCTGCTTATGTCAATGGAATTGAAGAAAGATTAAAGGCTGCAATTGCTGCAAAGAAGAAGAGAGAAACAGAAGAAAGATAAATGGCAGCAGAAGCAGAAGCAAAGGCAGAGGGAGAAGAGGAAAAGAACAAAGGAAAAAGGGCAAAAAAGCAGGCAAAAAAGTTTACTCCTTCTAAATAGTGAAATAATTGATAGTTGTTAGCTGATTAGTTCAGGGGGTTTTTTTAACAATGAAAAAACTTAATGTATGTGCATACATTAAGTTTAATGAAGTAATTAAACTTAGTTTAAAGTCTTTAGTTGTTTTTGGAATACTGATGTATGTGAATACATAAAGTAATTAAAAGGTTTATTTTTATGTTTTTTATGGGGTAACTTTTATGCAGAAAAGGGTAACTTTTATTTATAGAAAGGGTAACTTTTATTTATAGAAAGGGTAACTTTTAAGCAAGAAAAAGGTAGATTTTATTGTTAGAAATGGTAATTTTAGCAATGAAAAGGGTCACTTTTATGTAGAAAAAGGGTCACTTCTATTCATGAAAATGGACACTTTTTCTGTAAAATAAAAGGGTCAGGGGTTTTATGCATGAAAAGGATAACTTTTAGTGATAAAAAGGGTAACTTTTATTAACAGAAAGGGTAACTATTAGAAAAGAAAAGGTTGATTTAGTGGATAGAAAGGATAACTTTTATGCACGAAAAGGGTCACTTTCATGCATAAAAAGGTTTACTTTGTAGCATAAAAAGGGTTACTTTTGTGGGTAGAAATAATAAGTTTATACATGATAAGGTATAATTTTGTGGGTAGATAGTGTAACTTTTATGCATGAAAAGGGTAACTTTTATTGATAAAAGGGTTAACTTTTATTAACAGAAAGGGTAACTATTGCCAAAGAAAGGTTGATTTAGGGGATAGAAAGGATAAATTTTATGCATGAAAAGGGTCACTTTTATGCATGAAAAGGGTTACTTTTATGCATGAAAAGGGTTACTTTTATACGTTAAAAGGGTAACATAAGTTGATGTGTTCCAATAATTAAACATGTGCTAATAAAAATGTCAAAACAAAAGAAAAATAGTTTAACAATACAAGGTATATTAATTTCGAAAAAAAAAATGTTCTAAAAAAGATCTTAAAAGAGTCGTAAGTTAGGTGTCTTTGATCCAAATTCTGAATTTGGAGGTGGCAGTGCTGGTTTTCTTTTTCTCTTGCTTTTTTCAAGTCCTCCTTTTGCTCTCTTGCTTCTTCCTTTTGTTACAGCCCTTTTAGGATCAAGAATTATTGGTACACATGTGCTTGTACTCGATGCTAAAGAAGCGTCAGTATTGCTTTGAGTGTTGTCTGCCACATCAGGAATGTTAGAAGCAGCTTCTGCACTTTCTTTCTGAGCAGCACTAGCAAGTAAGTCTTCCACCATTTTAAGACTGTTTCTGAAGCTTTCTTCCATAAATGCTCTTGTCTCTTCATTTTCTTGACTTTTTAAGATTAGATTGTATTATTTCCTCATCATTGTTTGCCTCCATGGAATATATTGCTGTTTAGGATCCTGATTCTTCAACCTATCCCATGCCTCTATTTTTGCAAACTTAGTCCATCTTTTTGAAACATACTTGTCTGGTATTCTTGTTACTGAATGCAAATGTAGAATTCTGATGCAATGATAACATAACCATCCAGATGCTTCAAAGTTTTTGCAAGTACACCATACAGTTTGGCTCTCTTGTATATAGTTTACTTGATGTGCAGACCATGGCTTGTCTTCTAGTGTTACTTGATAAAGTAGGCATTCTTCATTACTGCCTAACATCTGAACAGTTGTTGCCATAGAGTATCCAAACTCCTCTTCAAAATTTCTAAAGAGTGATAAAGTGAAAACCTGTACATTAAAATCATGTAGCTTCATTTAAATTGCCATATATTAGGTGTAATTTATGTACTTGTCAGTTAACTTTTTACCTGTGCGGCATGCTTTAGCATTCCAGATAGAGGCAATGAAGTGAATGCTATTGACTTGCTACAGGTAAACTCATCATATTTCTCTGTGCTTCTCCAACGATTAGTTGTCTTCTTAAATATGGTATAAAATTCTGTCAAAGTAGTTGCTTTACTTGCTCTGAATCCTATGGCATGATTAGTGCTTTCACTCCTTTGTGACGATAAGATCCCTACTGAAAAGAAATCTCTACAAAGGGCAGGACACCATTTGTCTTTCAACTCATACACTCTTTTGTACCAAGAGTAATCTGTCAACTCATATTTTTGCAACATTGCTTGCCACTTTGCTTCGAATTCTTGTTCTGTCACACACATCTTTAAGCACTGGTTGAATGCAAATTTGAATTCTTTGTCTTTTTTAAGAGCTCCAAATCTGGTTATGGCATTTTGCTCCAAATGCCATATACAAAGTCTATGTCTTGTATTAAGAATCACCTGCATTGAAAATAAAGGGGTCACTTTATGCTGTTAAAAGGGTTATTTTATGCACTAAAAAGGGTAACTTTATGCAGCTAAAAGGGTAACTTTATGTGAAAAAGGAAAACGTTATTGTCATAGCTCAAATCTATAAGATGTCAATATAAATCTTTTACCTCCAGTATAGCATTTGCCATTGCTTGGTCCTGGTCAGTGAATATTGAAGTTGGTTTTCTATCCTCCATAGCTTTGAAGAAGGTTTGTAGTAACCACACAAATGAATCTGTCGTTTCATCCCCAATAAAAGCACAAGCAAACATACAATTATGCCCGTGGTTATTTATGCCAACAAATGGAGCACATATAAGATTATATCTGTTGGTTCTGTATGTTGTATCAAAGATAAGAACATCTCCATATATCCTATAGTCTTCTAGCATCATTGAATCTCTCCAAAAGATATTGCAAATTCTTCCTTCTTTGTCAAACTTCACTCTAAAAAAGAAGTTTGGATCCTCTGATTGTTCCTGACTTAAAATGTTCACTAAAGTTTGAGCATCTCCAGCCTCAATTTGTTCCATTCTTAACCTTGAGCAGAAATTCAGGTGATCTACAACACTATGGCCTATATTCTGTTCTCCTCCAGCCTCTGTAGCCATGTAATTGTAAGTGTCCATTGTAGTTAGACCTGAAGATTTCATTGTTTTGATTGTTACAACTTTTTCCTCTGTCATTTTTCTTTCAGAACGATGCAAATAATGCCACTATGGCTTTGTTAGCTCGTGGTTATGCTGAATAACATGAGCCACCACCTCAAACTGTCCTTCTTTATTCACTTTTGCTCTTATGCATGCCTTGCAATTTGATCTTGTAATGGATACTTGTCTTGGCTTTCTTGTTTTTACATTTACATCCTCTTCATCAACCATTTCAACTAACTTTGTTTTCTTCTGACCAGAATGTCTCTTTCCCTCAGCAGAACACACATAGTTTTTCTCAGTTACTATTTTTGTGTGTTGTTTGAATCTAGTTGTATGTTTTCTTATTGAAAACCCCAGTATAGCAGCATGTTTTTCATACAATTCCAAAATTTCTTCAAAAGTTTCTCTTACCACACCAACAAATGATCCTCTAAGATCTAAATCATAAGCATCAATTGGATTTGTATCTGTTATTTAATACAAACAAATCAGATAATAACCACAGACAGCATAAAAAAAAGGGTAACATTCGTTTGAAAATAGGGTAACTTTTATGCATGAAAAAGGTAACATTTAGGCATTGAAAGGGTTACTTTTTGCATACAATCTGAATTTTCAGCATACAATCTGAGTGTAACATTTGAGCATAAATAGGGTAACTTTTATGCATGAAAAAGGTAACATTTAGGCATTGAAAGGGTTACTTTTTGCATACAATCTGAATTTTCAGCATACAATCTGAGTGTAACATTTGAGCATAAATAGGGTCACTTTTAAGCATGAAAAGGGTAACATTTAGGCATTCAAAGGGTTACTTTTTTGCATGCAATCTAAAAAGTTCTGCATTCAATCTGAGGGTAACATTTAGGCATAAGTATGGTCACGTTTATGCATGAAAAGGGTAACAATTATGTATTCAAAGGGTTACTTTTTGCATACAATCTCAAAAATTCATAGAAATTACCTTCAGTTGCATCTGATTTGGTTGTTTGTTCTGAATTTGAATCAATTGATTTATCAGGAACCACTTGATTTTCTGCATTGTGAATTGCGTCTTTTGCATTCTCAATTGCTTCATCTGCATTATCGATTGCTTCATCTGCATTGTCTGGATTGTTGAATATTGGTACGAATTCATCTCCAAAACAATTAGTTTCTTCTTCTTCTTCTATAATCGATCGATTTAAATCGATTTCAAATTCAGTCTCAATTTGCCTCTGTTTTTGTAGCAATTCGTGAATGAGATTGCTGCAATTTGTTGTATCGAAAGTCGAATTCTCCATTGATGATCGAATTCTGCAATTTGTAAGTTTTCTCACTTTCTTTGTCCTTAATTGATGATCGAATTCTTCTATTTGTGCGTTTTCTCACCTTTTTTCTCCTCAATTGATGATCGATTTCTGCAATTTTTGCGTTTTCTAACCTTTTTCTCCTCGATTGATGATCGTTTTCTGCAATTTTTGCGATTTCTCACTTTCTCTCTCCTCAATGGATGATTGATAGCTGCGTTTTCTCACTTTCTCTCTCCTCCATTGTTGTTCTGCGTTTTTTTTATTTTTAGGTATTTGAAATTCTGCGATTTTTATTTTAAAAAAAAAGCACGTGCGAAAACCCGATGTACAGTAAAAATATTGTACACCGGGTACATGCAAATGGGATTGTTCTTACATATGTCAATAAGATATATTTTGTACAAATTATATTTTTATTAACATTTTTATAGATTATCTTTCACAACGATTATATCCGGTAAATTTAAAAATAATTATAATAATTATCTCAATTCTCATCATCATCACCGGTATAATTGTGATTCAAATTTAATCATGTACTTTCTTTATATTGTGTACGTAATTAAAATTGACACTTCATCCTAATAATAAAAATAATTCGTTATACTTTCCTTATCCTCATGTAGAATGAAAAATGAACACTATATTATTGACGAATTTAGGGGTAGCCTTGAGGTAATTCGTCACCAAGGTCCAAGGGTAGGCGCAAGGATTAATTGACTAGTCATCTAACATTATGAAACATAATTTTTGGTAATATTTAGTTTTGGATACCTTTTAATTTAAACATTTTGAAGAACGTTTCGGGAAAGAAAGTTTGTCAAGTGTATTTTTGGCTTCTTTTGTCATTTGTCAAAAAAAAAAAATATATATATATATATATATATAATAATAATAATAATAATAATAATAATAGTCAAATAAACCTGGATTCTTTTTGGGTAGTTCTCATAGGATTTAGGAAAAGCTTGATTGGAGGATAGAGATAGGAATGAACCTAGACAAGTTTCAATAATTTGTACATGCTTCAACAGTTCAACCTACTACTTTATCACTTATATAGAATTTTTTTTTTTTTTTTTTTTTTTTTTTTTTTTTTTTTTTATTGTTTTTACAAACACTTATATACAAATTAAATCGTCCACAATCAAATTAAAGCAGCTAATTATGTAATACTTTTTCGATAATCCACTATAGAATCAAAGAGCCAAATTGTGATTTTGACATTTGGCATGTACTCCCTACGTTTTTATTTGATATTCCTTTCGTGTTTTTACAAGTGTTACACTTTCTATTTTCGGCCGTGTTTTTTTAAGTGTTACACTTCCTTTTTTGTCAAAAAGTTACATTAAAATATTATATCACTCTCCTCTCATGGTCCCCACCCAAACTCACTACTACTTTTTTTAATTATCTTTCCTCTCACATTCATTACTTTTCAATAAATTATTAACTTTATTATCTTTCTTTTACAATAATATAATACTCTTACCCTACTAACCTCTTATTTTATTTAAATCACTTAAATTGCCTAAAAGTATGTGTCGGTCAAAGTGTAACACTTAAAAAAACACGGAGGAAGTAGTCACTTTTGGGCAATTTTCACCAAACTTAATAAACATGAATAAGAAGTAGCAAAAGTGCATTGAAAAAGTAAATTTTACATTGAGTAGGCAAAAAAGTAGAGTGAGAAAATAATTAAAGTACATGAAAAAAACAAAATTTACATATGAAAGTTAAATTTGCACAAATATTTTTGCAAATTGGAGAGAATTTTGGTAAAAAAAAATTAATATTAATGGTAATTGAAAAAAAATATGTGATTAACATTTTGGGCACCAAAAATGGAATAAGTGACTATCAAATAGACACGGAGGGAGTACTTTTTTTTTTACAAGAACAATACTTCCTTTGTATTTTATGAAGTGTAAAGTGGGGTAGTTGGAGTTTTCAAAAGTTTAAAAAGTAGATAATGAGTTAATATATCATATTGAAAAATAATGAACATGAAAGCAAAATAATAATAATAAAAAGAAGTAGTTGTGCGTTTAGGTGGAGAGAATGAAAAGAGAAAATATAATATTAAAAGAGCTCATCTTGCGTGTGGCTAACTATATCGTATGTCCACTTATAAATGAACAAAATAATCTGTATAAAACCGACCAAGTACCCCTGTATTACAAACTGAGTACCCCCTATAACACTAATTGAGTAATCCTATAGCACCGACGAAGTAACCCCTTTAACACTAAACAAGTAACCCCTACTTACTAATGAGGTAACCCCTGCCACACGGTGTGAATAACCACATATAAGACTTTGTGCTATTATTAATTTTTTTTTTTTGAAATCACCTGCAAATCATATATTAATTGAGATCAAGATCCGCCAAAGTTTGGAGGCTTTGGGGAAAAGGACCAAAACATACAAACTCATCACAACCATGAGAATCCCATCTTGCCACTAAGTGAGCTAAAGTATTTCCTCCCCTTCTAACATGAGAGAAAGAAAAAGATGCAAAATATAAGAGAGAGCTACAATATCATCTAATATCATATGAAAAGGAGTGAGTCCATCAACACGATTAATCACACCCGAACCCACCTTGATTGCATCACTCTCGAGCTGCACTTTAGAGAAACCCAACTTGTTTGCAAGTTGAAGACCAAATCTTCTAGCAGCAGTCAGCCTCATCAACACTCCATTTCACACTCACCTGACGAGCTGCAACCACAAGTAACCTGCCATTATCATCCCTGATCACTGCTCCCATGCGTGTGTCACCTCCAAGGTGGGCATCGCAATTTATTTTTACAACACCCATAGCAGGAAGGCTCCACGAACTAGCCCCCACAACAACCATTCCTCTATTCCCAGGAAATACTCTCTCTGCATACTCACAATAATCAAATGCCATCTTCGAAAAACCAGCAGCAATACCAATATAATCCATATTCGCCCCCTCAAAGAAAGTCTTACTCCTGCATGACCAGGAAGCCCACATGAGAGAGGCATCAGCCACGAGCTTCTCCTTGGGTAGTTTTTCAACAAGCCAAAGCAATCTGTCAGTGAAGCTCGATGTTAGATATTGGGTTAACAGCACACTAAACTCGTTTGCAGCCCATATGTCCTTAGCAGCACATCAATCGAAAGTAGCATGAATGATTGATTCTTCATCATTGCTACAGATGGAGCACACCTTGTCGGGAATTAAGTGGCGGTAAAATAATCTCTCCCTAACACCCAGGAAGCCTTTGCAGGCCCTCCATAAGAAGTGCTTTAACTTTGGTGGTCCATTCAAACCCCAAATTAATCTCCAAGCTTTATCAGAGCTAGCAGTCTGCTCTGCCAACCCTCCTTGTATCCTCATCCAATAACCAAACCTCACAATATATATAGGTACCATTTTTGTTTTGCCACCAGAACATAGAATCCTTTTGCTTTTTGTTTTTTTATTGGACAATGAAATTGCGAGTATCAAGCTTGATCTTTCGGGTTAAAAGTGCTCGCAATAATTTTTGTTGTCCACTTGTGATTCTCATGGTCAATAAGGTCCTTCACTCTAAGGTTCAAATCAGATATAGGGGTATGAGTAGGAACAATTGAAGAGGATGAACCCGGTGGCAAGGGTCGGAACTAGGTTGTTGAAACTAACCCCTACCCTAGGCCAAACAAAATTTGTAATCTCTCAACACACCCTTACACAAGTATAATGGTAAGTTGAGGGTCGAACCGCTAAGG